TTATGCCAAACTATAGTCTATCGATTTTGCGTAAGAATAATAAACTGTATATTGCAGAACTAATTGTGATAATTGTAGCTAAATAAGCTGTGTAGTTGTATGCGACTTTTTGCTTTTATTTATCCACCGGTTACTGTGGTAAAGGAAACACGCCTAAAATTTAAGCTTCAAAGGACGGGAATAAAGCCTATCCGTATTAAGATATTTAAAGAATAATCAATAAGAAAACTCGGTATTATGTGTATTGAAAAGCGCCAATGCGATGAAAAAATGGAGTTTCTCAGATCGACATATGCGTGTATTTTGTCGTGGGGTTGGTAATTAATTGATCTTACCGTTTTAAAAAGCATTTTGAAGACTTTTATATTGAAACAGATGTCACGCAAAATGAATTAACGGAATATCTCAGACAATAATCGATAAATAGACATGAATCGATTTGCTTCTCCCCACGCCTTGAACGCGTGTTAACTTTAAATATCTTTGTTGATTCGTTTTTAAAACATAGTGAGGAAAGTACTGTTCCGGGGGTTTATTTGAATTCAAGTTTGCTATTGTATTTGGTAACAGGTTCAATGACCAACTCAGTATTTGGAAATTGTAAAAGTTGCAAAAATAGCTGCCTCTGTAAATAAACCCACGCACTATTGACATACAGGACAACGTTGATCTGATGTTTGTTACCATGCAGTCTACTCAAACAATACTTTACTAACAAAGAAAATTGCTTCTCACGCTATGACCTAATTGAAAATGTGTCGGTTTGATTTCTATTACTGTTGTAATAATCCACGAAGATTCAGACTGATTTTCGCGTGTTATTATTGATGCCATACGTGTGGTATATATTGATGAATGAAAATTGAATTACGCAATGTTACTGTTACTCAGTTTCGCTGAATCAATGTTTTAGTAACGAACATGTACAGAAAATCCCATTTCACAAGGCCGTGTCAATAAATAACTATGATGAAAGTCTACCTACTTTTTTCTGTTCATATAACAGCATAATACATTTTTTTTTAATTATTTCGGTGCTCCCGAAGTATGCGAACCAAGATGGCGGACATCGGAACGTAACATGGGTAACAGGTTAGGGTTAGGCGATACTTTTTTTCCAATTTTCCTTATTTTAGTCCTATTATCAGTTCGAAGACTAGCCAAGAGCCTCCCGTAGTATTTATACCTAAAATTATGGCCTAACCCTAACCTAGTACACATTTACATTCCGATGTCCGCCATCTTGGTTCGCATACTTCGGGAGCCCCATTATTTCAATTTGATTTGAAAATAATTTCAATCCCTCGTTTGTCAATCCAAATGAGAGACTACTGATATTACCGAAATCCGTGCTTTTGCCTAGTTTGTGATACTGAGTAAACAATTAATCCTAATTTTCAAGATTGCGAAAAAATAGATGAAATATATATCAAGAGTTGGCAGGGGCAAAATTTTGTAATAGAAATAAAAATCATCCAAACTAAGGCACTGCTGCTTCAATACAAGCGTTGTTGGAAGACAAATGCTTAAGCTTTCGCGTTATTGGCATTAATTTTCGAATTGAAGCTATTTCATGGAATCCTCGGAATTCCCTTCACTACTTGATTACGTGTACACAAGGAAAATATTATAGGCATATTGAAAGCTTGTTTTTAACTCAAAAAACTTTAATTGTTAAAAGCGATATATACTTCTATAATAAACATACGCATTAAACAAATTTTGGGATATGAAAACCCGAAAAAATTTTCGGGTGACAAAAAGTAGAGCGATTTTGTCAAAATAAAATTTGCTGTGCTGAATTGTGAATTAGACTCGCCCATCTACAATATAACATAAACAGTGTTCATCGTTCTCATAAATGCTTATGTAGCAAATGGCATGAAACGTACACAGTGGAAGAGTTTGAACATTCGTCAAGTATTTGGCCATGACCCAAGCTGAGTTTACAGAAGCAGCAGCGACGGCGTATTTATTTGCAGACGGGTTCGTCGGTTCAATCACCCATTGCCTAATAATATTTCAACTTTAATTATATTGCTAAATATTGAAAGTATGAGTAATTTTGGTTTGTTTAACATTTCATTCGTATTACTTGGAGCCAATCAATTGTATGCAAACACTTCCTCTGTTCGCAATTGAAATATCCGGATTGTTAACTCTTTTCTCCCGTTGCGCGGAATCAATAGTCACACGCTTCTTCGCCAACGGTTAAAACGCATCGTCGCTGAAGGTAGAAAGTTGTATTCAGCATTTGCATTACTGTTTTGGTAAAAATGTGGTTTGGGGGGTAATTTGCGAACCTAGGCAAAGCAGCTGAGTACTTTACGTCATCGGATTTTATTATTTTTATTATATTTATATGTAGCGGCAATCATGAGCTCTCTGGGCACGCAGATGTGCTTTTAGAGAGAATAAGCAAAACGGGGAGAATGCGAAAGAGAATTTTGATCTTTGGATTCGACCACGCGTCGAAAGCGTGATCATATTATGGCAGGGGACATGCTCGAGGCAACAAAACGTGGTGACGAGCGAATGGAGATCCTCTTACGGGTATAGGATCGAAGAAAAGAGATTTCACAATCTAGCGTAGGAAATGTATCATTACATCATTCTCAATATATCAACCATATGTTGATATTTAGATAAATTTCAGGCATGCGGATCTTTCTTCGCGTTTTGTTTTAGCGCTGCCCACTAGTTTTCTACGATGTCAAATTATACCGAATTAATAAAAATTAACATTGGTATGTCTCAATTGTTACCATATAGGAAATATTCAGGAAATTTAAAAGTTATTCGACCAAATGCAAAAATATTAAATTATTTAATTGAAATGGCCGATCGATGATATCGAAAACTGGTGTTATGCCCAATGGGATTGCGCTTATAATCAGACATCTGCAAGCAGAGATCAGAATTAGAGGGATATATGATAGAAATCATTAAAAAAAAGTCTTCGTTGTAATTTTCATATGTGGTTTTAATGGCACGGAAAAAGTGAGACCAACTAGTTTGAAGGATTGTGTTTCGATACGAATAGAATTCAATGGTATAACATTATTCAGGATTTAAATAGTAGTTTAGTCAATCAACTAGCTTCAAATATACGTAGGTTCAAATTTCCATAGGTGCAAAGGTATGCATGTGCAATTGTCGTGAGTTCGAATTACGGGTTCAAATGTACGTTATTTCAAATGTAATGGAACCGTTACAAACGTTATATTGATATGGTTTGATTGTGCGTAAGATTTTCAATAGTGAACTTGAAAAGTACAATTATAGCATGTAGATAAGAATTCGTGAAGATTATGTTGTTTATTAAAGATTTTTATCTGTAAGCATTTCTTGTTGATTCTCGAAATGGGTCCACCCACCCCAGGACGTATTGTGAAAATATGACTGAAATTTTTCTAAATATCTTGAAAAAATTCTCCTTCTTGTGGCCGACGTGTATTTTGTATAAACTTTTGTTAATATCTACCAGGATTGCCAAGATATTTAATTTATTTGAAATCGTCAGAAGTAGAATATAATGAATTTTTGGCTACGGCACAGTCTGGTCGCCGGACTTGAGAGTCTAGCAGGAACACTAGGCTAGAATTGAAAACATTTCTAATGAATATTGTCATGGAAAAGAATTCGGAAGCCAGTAAAAGTTTAAAACACGCTATATTATCGCAGCTATGATTTTAATATCAAAAATGTTTTGTTCCGAAAATATGTCAAAGGTCAAATAAAAGGATCCTCGGAGTAGTCTGGTGAACAACAAGCACGTCCGTTATGTAAGGCATGCATACTTTGAACTTCATCGCATCAACAAGTCATAAACTGCGGCGAATTATTGTAATTACTGTCGGTTGTTTTTATTTTGATGCTTTATGACGTCATATATTCTCGCTTGTTGACGACGATATCTGCGGTTACATGAATGGTATACTGGCATGTTTTCATTGAATAACTTCATGTAAATAGGGTTCTTGTGGGTCGCTAAAACAATTGTCATAAAATCTACAAAGTAATGAGACCATAGCCCGTTATGCAGGTTTTGATCTGTCATAAACGAGCTCAAAGATTTTGACCCGTCTACCAGTTTGCGTGATATACGAGGTGTTTTGAATTCAATGGAAACATGTTTTTTTGCATAGGAATTTATAATAATAATCCACTCAAAAACAACTCGGTTATATGTTTATCATAAATAATCTCGGATTGCTCCATAATTTAAAATAGGTGAATTCATCATTTTAGTTTTTTGAGATTTATGTTTACATGAAATATGTAGAGTTTTCATTGCTTTGTGAGAAATAAACCACACAAGTTTGTGTCGAAATCAGATGCCTACCTCATTGACTGTCCTCCTAAGTTGAATAACCGAAGATATACCCCGGTGAGTTCATGTCTCACAAAGCGAAGGTTTGTTTACCAGAGCCGATCAGCTGATTTCTCTCAATTCGCAACATAGAGAAACGGCGTAAACAGCTGGCGATGAGCAACAAGCCGTCGCGGCATTCGTCCATTCCGTGCAATGCCGGTACTTATTTGCACACCTACACCAGTTTTGTTAATGGGTTTCCAGGATAACGCCCAAAGTCGTCTGATCCCGGGTGGGGTGTCATATTGACGAGTTTGAAAATTTAATAACACGGCAGCGTTTTCCTTTTCTAATTTTTTTTTTCAATTTTTCATTTTTAAACTATGTCGTATTAATCATTTGTTTTGACTGCGAAGCATAGTCTTCTTTTTACTACTCGGATATTACGAAATATCGTCTCCAGGCGTTCCTATATCACATGACAACAAAGTAACTTTATGGTGTATTACATGATGTCATATAAAAGAGAAAAAAGTTTATCGTTGGCCGTCAACAAGTTGATTACTTCTCTCCAGATGAAAAGCACAAATAAGATCGCGCGTGCCATCCCGCATCAGTTGAGCTTCATACTCATCGAGAAGGGTTAGATGAGGATAGACTATACTGAATTGAAGAGAATTCGATCAAGAGTGAACTTTTAATTTGAAATTGTTTGTTTATATTTTCAGAAAATAAACACTTGATAAAACACTTTAAATTTGATTTATCGCGAGGACCACTAACGTTGAAGAACATTGCACGATGGGCTCGCAATATAAAGATCTTAACAACAATGCATCGGTGAGAAAAGTTTCTTCATTAAAAATTCTCCACGTCGCTATATAATCCAAATATTCAATATTATAATCTTTAATTATTCCACTATGGTTCCCATTATATGTGTTCATTTATATTTGTCTAAGTATGAATTAGTGACGGGTCACAGTGCGCATATGGCACACAAAACTATTGATTTTATGGATGGCTGCGGCTACGACAGCTTGGTCTTACAGAATTGATTAAATCTTCGCGACTTTTAGTGTGGTGGAACGTTGTTCTGGCCACCTGTTTACAAGCGATCAACCGGATATTTATGTTACACGTGATCACGAACGCCTATCGCTTAATGATTTGCCCGTCCGGTCATTTTCTCAGCAATATTTTTACTTGTGATTGAGAGGATATTAAGGAAATGAAACTGAAACAATCCTTGGCGGAGATATGGAAATAAAACAATTCATAATTTTGCTTGCTAAACATTATTAAATGAAACTTTTCACTGCTGTACTGCAAAAACGAACATAGCCCACAATAAAAGAATCATTTTTTCGAAAATTCTAACATCTTTCCGTTTTATTTTATCCAGAATAAATCCCCGCAGTTTGGGATCATGTTTGATATCGATGGGGTCCTGTTGAGAGGAAAGACTCCCATCCCCCAGGCCAGCGAATCTCTTAAATCGCTCCTGGATGAAACTGGGACACGATTTGCCGTGCCAGCGGTATTTTGTACAAATGGTTTTGGACTGAGGGAAGTTAAAGCTGCTACTCTATCGGAAAAACTCGGCGTGGAAGTAAGATTGAAATCTCAATTTAAGTGGCAGACTAGATTCGATATATAGATATTTAGATATTATATATTATTATTATTTAGATATTATATAGATGGTAGATATTTATTATAATAAATATTTTTTATTTAGGTAAATCCGGACCAAATCGTTATGTCTCAAAATCCTCTCGAAATGTTTCACGAATACCATGACAAATGGTGTCTGGTATCTGGACCAGAACATGATGGAGGAAGCGTAAAAGTTGCAGAAAGGTTGGTAAAGATTGTTTCAACGACCCTTTATTATGAATTAATCTATTTATACTTTTTCTTATTTTATTCTTATTTATTCAAACAATATTATAAACCTTTTTTCAGTCTTGGATTTCAAAAAATCTTGACCATAGAAGACGTACGAAAAGCGTACCCATATCTTGACTGGGTTGACAGAGCAAGGTGGCCGAAAGAAACGGTAGACGACGACGACAGTTTTCCCACAATTGAGGCTGTTGTACTTCTGGGAGAACCTGTGAGGTGGGAGACCAACCTTCAGCTCATTCTCGACGTTTTGCTTACAAACGGCAAGCCAAATCGCCCGGGCGAAATGAATCAACGAACGCACTTGCCAGTACTTGCTGTGAATATGGATCTCCTGTGGATGGCAAAAGCACAAACGCCAAGGTATATAATTTGGTCTACATTATAAATGCACGATACAAATACTTATTTTGTACCCAACTACAGCGTCTCAATCCTACAAATAATTTCCTCTATAGATTCGGCCACGGAGCGTTTTTGGTGTGTCTTGAAAATCTCTACAAAAAGATTACTGGAAGTGATCTTGAATATACCGCACTGATCGGAAAACCAAGTGAGGTCACATACGAGTATTCGCAAAAGCTGATTGAAGAAATTGCAACATCAATGAACATCACCGAATTGACGACAGTTTACGCCATTGGGTAAGTGCTTCGAAGTTAATTGTTCAACATAGGTTATTTAACGTCTGGAATAGCTGTTTCATTTTTTTCAATTAGTAATCTAGATTGTCATAACTATTAGATTGTAAATTTTTCAAATGTTTTCCAGGGACAACCCGCTTACTGATATTTATGGTGCAAACATGTTCAACAAATTCTTACAACGAAAGAGGAAAGACATTGCTTTCAAAAAAGAAGAAATCAAGAAACAAATGGAAAAACAGTTGACTAGGTATATATGCTTTACTATATATATTTATATATATATACAATAAAGCGAATCATTGCATGCACTTAATCTTTGCGTGTTCATACGTAGGTCGCCAGTTATGCCCCGTGCAAAACGAAACGGGATTTCTGACAGAAGCGCAAAAAAGGCAATTCGTCTTGCAGCTGACAATCATATCGCTCTCCACGGCGACATCACAAATGTTCGTGGGGTGAACAGGTACGTGCTCTTACAATTGTCTTGTGATTGACTCAGCGATTTGATACTATTTAGGCCGGTATTTCTCGTATGGCAATCGTCAAATGATATGCGAACTTTCGAAATACGTCCGCGGCAATTGTATCCAGCGTATACAATAAAACTACGTCACCTAAATATTACAATACATCAAAGTGGAATGTTCAACTTATCCAATTACATATTGCTTTTGTTGGCAATAAGCCCCACGACGCACTCAGATGACATACAAGCGTTGTAGTCTGATTACGAAAAATGTTCTGATTGGGCAAACCCATTTATTTCGAAATGCTACGTTTCGCAATTCAGCAAATCGTCGTTTGAATTGCGTGTCATTTGGGGTTGTCATTGCAGAGTTATCTAAACAAACTATGTATTAATAGCTTTGCTCAGGGTAATGCAAACATAGCTGGTTGCAACATACTGGCTATGTTTGAATTTGCTCATTGCCAAGTATCAGCAGCAAATTGCTCTCATTGCTCGAGGCAAATTCTGTTTGCCAAACCCCAGACAATCAACTTGTAAATATTTGAGCCTAATCGAGTATAACATTAGTTGTAAATAATCAACTTGCACCCTACTGAAACAACTTTGCTTTGTTGGCATTGGGAAAATATTTTGAGGTGTGCCGCCGGCGATGTTTAACTTAGTCTTAGAATAACCCCAAATGTATTCTATTGCGGCGCATGGTTGGTATAAGTTGTCTCAATTAAATTAAAAATGTATTCATGCACTGCGTCTTATGTTTAGATGCACTTCGATTCTTGTATGTACTGGCGTATACAAGGCACCTGAGCCAGGAACAGAAGAAGCCGAGGCAGATGTAGATCACGGACACCGGGACCTACCGTACACCGCGGAAATGACAAAAGCTGATTACATCGTTGAAGATGTTAAGAATGCAATAGACACTATTTTCAGAGTGGAAAAGTGGAAACCATTGTATGGTTAAATGCCTTGACAATTATCAAACTTCACTAAGTGAAAGAAAATGATTTAGTATTATTACAAAACAATGCCGTGAACTTCCAGGAGTGTATAAAACACTTTTCGTTTGTGACTACTTTAATATAATTTTATAAGTTTTGCTGTACTGCTGTACTTTTACTTTATAACGCAACGCCAAAAATTCTCAACTAAAAAAAGGACCAAAACGGATTTGTTTTATTAAGAACGGCAAGCAGTATCAATGATATTTTCAATCAAATTGTTATATTAGTATATCTTGTCAATCGCGCCTCGCCGTTTTTATACTGAATGTGAACCAGTCAAATTTATATAATAATTTTGTGGTAAATTATCACTGTGTTTGTACTACACCATGACTGTTCATTAGATCGATAAATTTGAATTTGGGTTGCATTCGAGCTGTTGAGATACATATGATATGTGATATCCTATGCTTCTGCAATTTGTGAAATACCAGTGTCATTTTGCGGGAAATGGTATAAAGGTGTATATGGTGAATGAGTTAAAATTGAAATTTGTGCTATTTTTTCAATTGTTTTTATTTTTGAAAATTTACTGATTTCAATACATAAAAAAATGTGATAATTGTGTTTCTCTTTGTCTCTTTTGAGAAAGGCCCTCGTGAGGCGCTGCCCTTCATTATGAGTTTTAGCTGTCTTTAGCAAATATTTGAGTGACCATCAAACACATATAGATGAAGACCCGTCTGTCCTTGGCGTTATATTTAGGAATATGAGACTGCCCATACTCCACATACAGGTTGAGAAATAATAATTACTGGCAATCCATCCAGGATCGATAGCGCTAAGCTTTAAGATGGCAAAGGAAATGGTTGGGTGACAAAAATGTGAAGAAGGCGCATTTATAACTAAAGGTTTGAAAGCAATATCTATTAAGAATTTGTTGACAATATTCCTAGTATATATGTGAATACATTTTAATGCGACCGACCTAATTCTTACAGTACTTTCCTGATGAAGTATAAGTAATTAATGCAAATGAATGATTGTTATAAAGTCAACAGTTCCATTACATTTGAACCCACGTACATTTGAACCCGTAATTTGAACCCACGACAATTGCACCTATGGAAATTATTTTTTTACGAATATTTGAACCCATACTAACCCTAACCCATGTCTTTTATCACCCTCATAAAGATTGAACCCGCGGATATACGGGTGCAAATGTATGGGTTCAAATGTACGTGGGTTCAAATGTACGGTCACCAACTCAACACATAAACCGCCACTAATTAAATTTAGATTAATGTGACAAGTGTGAACAGTCGCACAAAAAACTGGCTGTTTTGTCATTTTACTTATAATATTACGATTCCTTAACCTTCTCAGTTGATTGGACCTTCGAGTGTATAACGCAATCATAGTTAGTTGCAACATACTCGCTTTGTTTGAATTTGCTCATTGCCAAGTATCAGCAGCAAATTGCTCTCATTGCTCGAGGCGAATTCTGTTTGCAAAACCCCAGACATCAACTTGTAAATATTTAAGCATAATCGAATATAACATTAGTTGTAAATAATCAACTTGCACCCTACTAAAATAACTTTGCTTCGTTGGCATTGTGAAATTATTTTGCGGTATGCCGATGTGCGATGTTTAGCTTAGAATAACTGTTATGTATTCTTTTATGACGCGGTTGGTATAAGCTGTATTTATTAATTTGAAAGATGTATTGATGCTTTGAATATGTATTATATTATATCTATTATATGTGATATCCTTTGCTTTGTGAAATACCAGTGTCATTTTGCGGGAAATGGTATAAAGATGTATACGCTGAAGGAGTTAAAATTGAAATTTGTGCTATTTTTTCAATTGTTTTTATCTTTGAAAATTCACTGATTTCAATACATCAAAAAATGTGATAATTGTGTTCTCTTTGCCTCTTATGAACAAGGCTCTCATATAGGCGCTGTCTCTCATACGTTTTAGCTGTGAATGTCTTTAAACAAGTATATATTTGAGTGATCACCAAACACATATAGATCGAGGCCCGCCTGTCCTTGGCGTTAATTTTAGAAATGTAGAACTGCTCACACTCGAGTACAAAAAGGGTCAAAGTTAAAAAAAAGAGTTAAAAAATAATAATAACTGGCAACCCCTTCAGGATCGATAACGTTAAGCTTTAAAAAGAAATGGTTGGGTGACAAAAATGTGAAGAAGGCGCATTTATAAGTGAAGGATAGAAAGCAATATCTTTGAAGAATTTGTTGATAATATTCCTAGAATATATGTGAATACATTTTACATTTCACGATAAAATAACAGCAATTAAAGCAAATGAATGATTGTAATAAACTCAACACATAAACCGCCACTAAATAAATTTAGATTAATGTGACAAATATGAGCAGTCGCACAAAAAAACTGAATGTTTTGTCATTTTACTTACAACAATACGAATAAATACCTTCCTCATTTGATTGTACTATCAGGTGTATAACTTTCTTATGAATATTACGTAAAAGCCAAATGTCTTTCCTCAGCTGAGTGATTGAAATATCCATCATTATCATGCCAAGAGACGTTGACTCATTATCCGATACTGTTAAACACAGATCGAGTATTTTTTTTTAATTACACATTGTCACCCCCTGGTGGTGATATACAGGGTATATGTATGTGCAATAGTCGTTACCTCGTTTGCAATGTTTAGAATGCTCTACGTTATGACAATGCGATATGCATCATCTTAACTGAACACTTCCAATACTTGAATGAAAGTTTAAAAAGAATGTATAAATTAAATAAATTATCTTCCAGTCATTTCGTAACAAGAGGTCGTCAGTAACAGGAAGTGCGAGTGCAAGATCCAAACAATTGTTTATGCTTCTTCATAGTGAAAGAAGTCTACTACGTGGAAACGAGCACGTGTGATGCTGTCGCATAAATGGAAAACATATGACGTTATGCCGGTTGTGGTCGACAGCATGTTGATCGCAGATTAATCTAGATCTCCGGAGACCGCACATGAAAACATCATGTGTTGACGTTTTGTCCCACTCACGTGCTTGGACAGAATACGCCGTTTCTGATTTGTTTTGATTATATATTTGGCGTTATCTTCAAATGCACAAATAATACACAAATACAAAAGCTGTATTTTTGTACATAATTTATGTTCAAGTCTTAAAATATGGAATGCCAATATTTTTTACTAAATCGTTTAAAAATGACTGCTACAGAACGTCTTATTTTCTTTGTACATTGAATTTACATATAGATGAAATTTTGTTAGTTTGAAAAACAGCATTCCGTAGTGTTTACACATCTATGTAATAGCATTCTACTAGCCACGCATCATCGACAGCATCAAAACAACTTTATTTTTTTAATCACAGTGTGTGTTAAAGATACCACAGACCGAAAAATGATAATCAGCGATTCTGAAGGTAATACGTCTAGAATGAATACAAACAAAATTTCACGTCGGCGTCTTTACTAGTCCTAGTTTTAAGAATGTTGACAATTTTGAAGTTATGAGAATGTGACGAAATTCTACATTATTTCATTGCATTTCGCGTGTGTGTTTAAATTTATTTAAATTATGTGTGACACATGAATATTCGACGTGGTTTAATATGTATATATCCATTGTACTTTGTGTTAGCTCGCCTTGTTCTATGAATGGTCTTGTATAAAGAGTTTTGTATACTTCACCCTTACTCCTTCTACTGCACCTACCCGCTGGATAGTTCGAAACTTTCTGTTGTGTGATGATGCCAAGATTTCAAATTGTTTAATCTAATGTCCGAGGTCTAATATGTTGTTGGACCTTCATAAGATTTTGTCTCGTCAGCTCAGGTATCTTTACTAAGTAGCCTACCACGAGAGTTATGCATCCACTGGGTAGATCAAATAGTCAGGAGCTATTTGTCGCCTTGTCACAATTCCATAAATTTGTTTGAAGCTGGTTACCTGAAGGATGCTTTCATAGGGGAGGCCGTGTACAGAAATTCCGATACTCCAGTAGTATGTGAACCAGGAGGTCGGAAACCGGAACGTAGTATGTGTACCAGATTAGGGTTATGCCATAATTTTAGTTACAAATGCTACGGTCACTTGGCTAGTCCCCGAACTCGTAATAGAACTAAAATAAGGTAAATTGGAATAAAATTATGGCCTAACCCTAACCTGGTACACATACTACGTTCCGGTGTCCGCCACCTTGCTTCACATACTACAGGTGTACCGAAACAGAAATGCCTCTGTAGCTTGATACTGTTGCCAAAATATAGATTTTGTCGGTCATGCTTGATGATGGAGCAAAAGTGCATTTATGATTCGGGGGACCAAGTAAGCTATGTCTCTTTGCATCGATGCCTCGACTGTCTTATGCATTTGTACTAAATTCTGAAATAAATAAAATTTAAATTAAAACATTGATTGACTCAGGTCGGAATTATTCTTCAGCAATCAAAATTACGATGGAATTCTACACGTACGAGATCCAGTGTATATATGACATCGTCAAACTTGCCCACAAAAACATCTGAGACTATTCACATTGAATTAAACAAGACTTTACCTAGAATCTGTCATTTATAAAAAAAAATATTACTGTGTGTAGGGGGAAAAGCTTTACATAGCTTTACATCCCAATGGAAAACTTTTACATTATATATTGCAGTTGATGTGTCAATTTTCCGAAGGACTGTTGCCTTGTTCGTTGAAAACGATAAAGTGCTTGGCACGTACGAGTATCCTTTTGATAATATCACTTGCCGTCGGCGATGACAAAATGGATGATAATCTGAACAAGAGAGCAAAGTACAGCGACGCGAAGATAAAAAAAACAAGGTAGTACGGCTATCTAATCTTTTACAGTAGACTACCTGTACCGTAATCTTCCCAACTTCGCCGGACCAACAGATGGCAACGAACCCGGAGCCGCCACAAGGTGAGCAATTTTTAATTATGATCACATCATCGCGCACAAAAAACGTATCTAATTTTCTACCATACTAAAGTACACATTGTGAATAAAAAATACAAATCTTATAGAGCCCACAGGAATTTTTGAAATGAACAAAAATAATGGCCTAGCGACTACAACGAACAACCACTGAAAATAATTTTAAAGCAATTGGTCCAGTAATCAAAGAGAAAAGCGAATTTTTCATAAACAACGAAAAGAAAAATACCAACATGAACAACCACAACACAAAAATAACAACAAGAGACCGATGCTAGAATATGTGGACACGAAAGACAAAAACGGCGTAGTACGGGTGTGCAATCACTTACAGTAGACTACCGATACCGCCGCAGTCTTCCAGATTAATAAGGCGAATGCGGAACAGCCAAAATGTGCGCAATTTTTGATGACCTTATTGCACACAAAAAAACTAATTCTATAAAGCCCACAACAATTTTTGAAATAAATAAAAGTAATAGCCTTATAGCACAAAATACAATCTTCAACCACTCAAAATTTCATAGCAATACGTCCAGTAATTCAAAAGAAAAAAAGATTTTTTTTTATAACAAAAGGAAGAAAGATACCAACAATAACAACAACATAATAACACAAAAGAGTGATGCTCAAACTTACGGGTATGC